ATCACCACTCTCAGTTAACTATTTTTATTTTATTTTAATGCGTTTTTATTGATTTTTTAAAAATCTTTATTGTTGAAAGTATTACATATGTCCCCCTTTTTTTCCCATTGATTTTCTTTTAGCACCCCCCCCCCCACACTCCACAACAAGCCTTCACCACCCTATTGTCTGTGTCCGTGGGTTATGTATATATGCAGCTTATTTTGCTTAGGTTTTTAGAGAGAGGGGAGGGGAGAGGGATAGAGAGAGAGAAACATTGATGAGAGAGAAACATCATCGGCCTGCTGCCTCTTGCATGCTCCCCACTGGGAATCAAGCCCACAACCTGGGCATGTGTCCTGACCAGGAATAAAACCAGTGATCTCTTGGTTCCTGGATTGATGCTCAACTCCTGAGCCACACCAGCTGGGCACAATTAACTATTTTGTTTCCTTCTTTCAGCTGCTCAGTGGCAAGATAATCTGGTTTGTTCCACCTTGTAAACTTCTTTTTGTAAGCATCTCACACTTAGGAAAATTGCCTGTTTTCCCTAACTAACTAATGATTTTGCTGTTTAAATAGCAACAACTTTTAAATCCTATTCATCCAGGAAATGTTTATTTTGGAGATCAATGGAGGTACACGGGAAAAACAAAATGAGTAAGATATAGTCCCTGCTTATAAGGATTCATAAGAATCTGTTCATTAAATGCTGGCTTTTAGGTGGTTCAGCAATAATTTCAGTGAAAGGCTTGTGGCAAGAGCTAATTAGCTCATAGAGCAATGAAATGATTCTTTTCTCAAATGCTTTAAATAACTATCAGACCTGAAATTTCGAGCAGAACCTGCTCTTAGTGGGGAGTTCCTGGAGCTAGCATCAGGCTGTTTTTTCCTCCCTTGATATGTAGTTAGAAGCTTGTTGTCAGACCAGCAGCACGGGCCTCTCCGGGGAGCATGTTAGCAATGCAGATTCTCAGCCATCCCCTCCACCCTGCTTCTGACCTGCTCAGTCAGGGTGTGCATCCAGAACCTCGGGCTCTTCCTGTGCACACTTCCTTTGAGAAGCACTGGCCTAATAAAGAATTTCTCTAGCTCAACTTGGTATATACAGATCATCTGCGGTGGTTTTTTTTTTTTTCACTTTTTAAAAATTTTATTTATTTATTTTTAGTGAGAGAAATGTCAACTTGTTGTTCTACTTACTGACCCATTCATTGGTTGATTCTTTTAAAAAAATATTTAATGATGAGAGTATTACAGATGACTACATTTCCCCCCCCCCCCTTTTGCCTCC